ATTGAGATGAAATCACAAACTAAAAACGATGATGAATGTATATGGAGTCAAAGTGAACTGAAGATGCTACGAAAGTTTCTACAAAAAGCTAAGATGCAAAACCTTCAACTTGCTGCACTTCTGGAATCGGCACAAAGCGAAATAAGAATGTGGAAAGAAAAGTTTAAAGATGTGACCGAGTCGGAGGATCTCGTAAAAAATAGATATCAAGATCTGAAAAAGAAATATGAACGATTGAAAGTCAACTATAGAGCACTGAAGGAAGACGTCAGAAAGTATCATAACAACTTGAAAGTTACAGGAAGAGATTATCAAGAACTACAAAACGAGAAAAACGATATTGAGAAATCATTCAACGAGACAAAGTTAAACCTGAACAGGGAAAAACTCCACAGTGAGCAACTTCAAGCAAAGTTAGAGAGGAGAGAAAGGGAATTTGAGGAAAGTTTGAAAAGTTGTGAATTCTTCTTGGAACAACAACATTTACCTGAGAAAACAAAGTTGCAAAGAGACATTGATAGACTGAGAGAGGAATGCGAAAAGGAGAAGGAAGAAAACAGCTTAAATAAGAAGGCACTTGAACACCTAAGGACCCATTTTGCCAACCTGCAGATACTTGGAGATAGAACAGAGGGAAGGAAAGAAACAGATAATGTGCTTAGTGTTGTAGATATTGACTATCTGCCAACATAGCTGGGGGGGCTGAGCTTTTCTCTATGAAGCTACATGACACTAATGACAGCTAACTTTTCGCAATGTTGCCTTGAGTAAAACATTTTTTTTTTGTCATTTTGAAAAAATCTTACAGCAAGGAATGAAATTTTCTTTGTTTGGAGAAGCATCGGTCAGATTCCAACTTACCTTTCTAATGTGGCTTCGATATTTTTGTTAAACAGCCCACATAGAGGAGATGTCTTAAAAAAAGAGTGTGTGCTGGTACATCTGCTGGAAAACACTTTCCTGCCCTCAGGGTTCCGCTCTCAATATTGTAATATAAATATTGTACATGTAGGGAGTCAAAGCTCTGAACCTGTGAGGCCAGACAAATTAGAACAAAAGTGAGTCACCAGGGGCCACAAGGTAGAACTAGAATCTGACCAAAACAACTATTTGTGACTGGAAAAAGGCAGCTTCCATCCCATGATCTGAATGGTTTGACCTCAATCCAGGAAATTGAGACCGGATCAGTAAGTTGACATCCATTTTGATCAAACATTACTTCTTAAAAGGACTGTGGACCCAATGCACTTTGCATTGTACTAGAAGTTGTAGGGGTTGGGTTCCCTTTTCTTTTGTTTTCCTGCCCTTTGAAGTCACATGACCTTCTCTTTCGTTCTTCTTGTTATGTTGAAGTTTTAGGTGTTCACCTAAAGTAATGACAAAACAGTGACCAAAAATCTAACTTGAATGACTGCATTGTTGGGGATGACTGTATTCATTTATTGGCACAATTCAAATCTTGTAACTTTCTATCGCAGTGAAAATAAAAGTCTGTGTACACAGTGAATAATTCATTGCCACAATAGTATTTAACTTTTCATTAACTCCAAAATCTCATTTTTGAACATGCAGTTACATTCTACACACTGTCAGTGGACCCCAGAGTTTTTCAATACCAGGGTTCTTTGTTTCTGTAAAATGTATCATATGCCTCCATAATAAACAGCTATTAGGTACTAGGATTGGACCACTTAACTATGACTTAGGGCCAATTAAGTTGAAACTGGCCAAAACCAGCTTACCATTTAAAAAGATAAACAAGATAAACACTCCCATCATTTTTGCAGGGGTGTTCCCTTGGGGGACAAGTAATCCTGCAAAAGGTAAACAAACAGACCAGCAGTGCTACCCCCTACCTCTATTGTTGCTATTAGAAATTTTACCGTCCCCAGCATAAGACAAAGTGTGATCTGGGTGCAAGATTTAAAGGAGAAACATATTGGTAAAACCGGAGAGACTATGGTAAAACAGAGGCTGCAGGGCTGGTGATCTGTGGACTGTGGTCATGAGTAAAAGAAACTTTCTCTAGTCCCACTACTTAGCAAAAGTATTTCTATTATTATTATTATTATTATTATTATTATTATTATTATTATTATCATTACTATTATTTACTACTATTTGTTTCTTTAACGATTAGCTTTAGAGATGTCCTCCCTCCTTGAATAATTCCAAAAATATTCCCTTGATCAAGGAAGAATTAATGCTGCTCAACAATTTTCGCCCTCTTTTCTCTCAACCACATTTTCTGCCTGCCACTTAAAAAACACTTAAAAAATCAGTTGAATCAGCAACCTTATAGCTACATTTGGCTGCATATAAATTTACCTCCGGGAGGTGGCAACAATGGACAGCTGTTTCTCCTATATTTGGGCTCACCGGCATGGCATAGCAGGGGTAGATCCAGGATTTTTCTTAAAAGGGGATACATCACTAATAAGGAACTACCATGCATATGCATTTAACTACCATTTTTACATAAATTTCTCAACCCCATGTCATGTTTTTCTTCAACACAAATAACCCTCAAAGTCTTTTTTTTTTTTTGCAGAATACCAGTTGTATCAGAACGCCGCAGGTCGTCACAAGGGTATGCACACCCCCTGCACCCTCCCCCTAGATTCACCCCTGTAGCTGTGAATCTAAGCCACATTTTCCCTTAGTTAACCGCAAAAGCACTCCTTTAAATTCCAGCTCGCTCCATGTTTAGCATTGTGGTAGCTGTTGCCACTTCAACAGAGTTGTGTGGCTAACCCAGCTAACTCCCACCCCCACCCCCTGAGCAATACAAACACCCATTTACTAACAAAGAAAGCTTTGTTTTGGTACCCTGGCCTCAATATATTCCTAATAAATGTACTGGAAATAAACTTGTTGACGTGGCAAACCATCAGTATCGATAAGAAAAAAATATCCTCTGGAACCCAGGGTATTGTTTCGGTTGCTTATTTGCTATTTCAATTATTGAGCAAATCAATATTGTTTTAACCCAAAAATAAACCACTATCTTGGAAAGGGCGCATTGAAAGCAGTGAACTCTATACGTGTACAGATAGTATATGGGTATGACTTGCATTCCTTTTGTTGATACAGTACTTTAACTTTTAAAGACAAATCATTTTATATTTGCCCACATGTCGACTAAACTGCGGGGAAAACAAGATTTCGCGCAATTTTTCGGGCTCTTGTTTTTTGAACAATAGTTAGCCATATATGGTTGCCGAGAGAAGCCTAGCAACACTCGATAACAAAGACATGCCATTTACAGCATTATGCAAAGCTTTGCAGATGAGCAATCAGCGTATTTTGAAGCACTAAGAGTACGTGTTTGTATTCGATTAAAGGCTGCAGAAGTCGCTTTTAAGGCTTCGTAAGTGTTTGTTATGAGGAATGAAAAGGCGAACGAAAATCTCCACTTCGAATCGAGCGCTTCGATTGAACACTAGTCAATATCGCCGGGAGTACAAGAGCGGTGCTGTCTACCATGGCGAACTCGAAGGGACGAAGAAAAGTGGGAAAGGGATTTTTAAGTGGCCAAATGGAGCTTGCTACGATGGAGAATATGTTGATAACACAAGGCATGGTTATGGGAAGCAATTTTGGCCAGATGGATCGATTTATGAGGGAGCATTAGTGCGAGATCTTCGGCATGGCCATGGTACCCTAACATGGCCAGATGGCGAGGTAAGGTCTGAATTAGGTTATTAAACATAGTGAAGGAAGAGGTTCTTCTCTTCTGAGATTGCTTTCCATGGAATCATTTAAGCCTTTTTATTTATATCATTAGCCATTTGAAAGTACGTTCAAGAGGATAAACTTCTTGGTCTTGTCAGAACGTTCAATTAAGCTTAAAATAAGCTTATGTTTTCGAGTATGTTCAAAATAAATTAAGATTCGAACGAATAATTTTCTGTTCTAAACACCATTATTTTTCACAGTTTCTTGACAGAAATTTTACACTTCGTCTGTGCAAGACACAATGTTGTGAGTTTATCGTCTAAAGCTTCTCATAATTTATTAACAAAATAAATAAATTTCTGATGCCATGTTTGTGGACCGCAAATTAAAGCTTATTCACGGCCAGTTACAAATTCCTTCGGGTTATTTNGTAGATTTTACACCCAACAGCTTTATAATCCATTCATATGTAAATGTTACAGGTCTAAATTAATTCGGGTTAAATTTTTTTAACCTTAGCAGTGGAGTTGATTCTCTGTTTCCTTTGTATGCTAGCCCTAACTGTTAAAGGGCTAGGAAACAAATGAATTGGGAATCAACCTAGGTTAAATAAGTTTAACCTGAATATAATTTTGACCTGTTCCAAAAAAGATAGAAGTGATCGCGACAGGATACATTTGTGGGCAATTCACTCTTTTCATGTTGACCACAATGCGCCTTGTTTACCCCCAAAAATTTGCTTGATAACTGTTGTCTTTGATTTCTCTTAGGATGACTGTAATACCTAGGAGAAATTTCAAAGAATGGTTACAGCTATATGTAAATTTTTGTGAGGGAGGGGAAGTGGGTGAACAGCTCTCGGTGAATAAAAGGCCCGGGGATAGGGGTGGGGGGTACTACCATATATGGGCTATATGGGTATGTGCTGCTGTGAAGGGTATGGTTTTCAAGCAGTTTACTCTGAGAGTTTGGGTCTAGAATAGGGTATCATTTTCCAGGAAACTGATCCATTGGTTGAGGATTTTAATCTAGACTAGGGAAACCGGGAATTGCCACTCAAAAATATAAAAAAATCAAATCGGCAAGTTTAAATTTACACAACTCAGCTTGAAAGCTACTCTAGGATAGGGGGGATATGAGGAGTTTAGTCTCAGCTGAATTAGCTCTTGTATAGGCTTAGGGTTCCAGGGGTCCCAGCGGAACATCCCCACCCCAAAATTAACCATCACTAACCATTAAATAAACAAAATATTAGTAAATATTAAGCTCTCTCTTAGTGAAATTCTCCACTGTATGACTTATAATATGTTTAATAATAATCTTGCTTGTAATATTAGAGTTACAGCGGAGAATTTTACCGTGACAGAAAGCACGGCAAAGGAGTGTACACCTGGCCAGATGGTACAGAATTTGATGGATACTTTGAAAATGACAAAAAAGAAGGATTTGGAACATTCACATTCCCAAGTGGCAACAAATTTGAGGTTTGTACAATCAATTAGTCAATTACATGTAAAGGCAAAATTAACACTGGTCCATGAATTTTTTTCTCCTAGACTCATGGTGAGACTATTATCTTCCAGTATCGATCAATATGACAAGTACATTTTAGATTATAATATTATAAACCCTGGTTCAGTCAGTTTGTTTTCTTTGTACACTTTTGCAAGTCTTTTTGATTGATCCTTATAAAGTTTAATTTTGTAATTTAAGAGTCATGAGTACATGTGTACAATATTCAAAGAAAATGATCACCTATCAGGCTAAATTAAAATTTACCGCTACCCAGTTAGCTCATTTGGGTGAGTGCTTGTCTGCTGAGTGGTAGGATGTGGTTTCAAACCCCATTCAGGCCAACAGCCACGGTCTTATAAAAACGGCTAATATTATGCTGGCTGTTATTCAAGATCTTGTCTCAGTTCAGGTGATCATGTCATGTGCGGTGCAGTTAAGCTGTTGGCCTGTTTCCTTTATCTTGTGTTAGCAAGGGGATGGGGAACTCTTACTGCTTTTTGAAAAGGGACTCAAGGTAATGTAGACCCTCCTGGCCTGGTGGTGTGATCTATCTCTCAAGGGGGGTTGGGGGAGGGGGTGGGGGTGGGGGTACTGCCATATATGGGCTATATGGGAATGTGCCACTGTGAAGGATATGGTTTTCAAGCAGTTTACTCTGAGAGTTTGGGTCTAGAATAGGGTATAATTCTCCAGGAAACTGATCCATTGGTTGAGGATTTTAGGGTAGACTAGGGAAACTGGGAATTGCCACTCAAAGATATAAAAAAATCAAATCGGCAAGTTTAAATTTACACAACTCAGCTTGAAAGCTACTCTAGGATAGGGGGGGATTTGAGGAGTTTAGTCTAGTATAGGGTAGCAGAATTCAGCTGATTTAGCTCTTGTATAGGCTAAGGGTTCCAGGGGTCCCAGCAGAACAACCCCACCCCAAAATTAACCATTAAATAAATAAAATATTAGTAAATATTAAGCTCTCTCTTAGTGAAATTCTCCACTGTATGACTTATAATATGTTTAATAATAATCTTGTTTGTAATATTAGAGTTACAGCGGAGAATTTTACCGTGACAGAAAGCACGGTAAAGGAGTGTACACTTGGCCAGATGGTACAGAATTTGATGGATACTTTGAAAATGACAAAAAAGAAGGATTTGGAACATTCACATTCCCAAGTGGCAACAAATTTGAGGTTTGTACAATCAATCAATCAATTACATGAAATGGCAAAATTAACACTTGTCCATGAATTTTTTTCTCCTAGACTCATGGTGAGAATATTATCTTCCATTATTGATCAATATGACAAGTACATTTGTGATTATAATATTATAAACCCAGGTTCAGTCGGTTTGTTTTCATTGTACACTTTTGCAAGTCTTTTTGATTGATCCTTATAAAGTTTAATTATGTAATTTAAGAGTCATGAGTACATGTGTACAATATTAAAAGAAAATGATCACCTATCAGGCTAAATTAAAATTTACCACTACCCAGTTAGCTCATTTGGGTGAGTGCTTGTCTGCTGAGTGGTAGGATGTGGTTTCAAACCCCGTCCAGGCCAACAGCCGGGGTCTTATAAAAACTGCTGACATTATGCTGGCTGTTATTCAAGATATTGTCTCGGTTCAGGTGATCACGTCATGTGCAGTGCATCATGTGCAGTGCAGTTAAGCTGTTGGCCTGTTTCCTTTATCTTGTGTTAGCAAGGGGATGGGGAACTCTTACTGCTTTTTGAAAAGGGACTCAAGGTAACGTAGACGCTCCTGGCCTGGTGGTGTGATCTATCTCTCAAGGGGGGTTGGGGGGGGGGGGGTGTCTATTACAGGCCTGCAGTTATTGCTGTCATGCACTGTTGTGGTGACCCTGCCAAGATATTACTCTATTTCCTTGACTAATAGCTGGGGCGATTATTCTTTTTTTCGCACCAAAAGGGGGCGATTATTCAAGGGAGGCAATTATTATTTTAAATACTGCTCACTGAAAGTCATGCCCTAAATATTTTGTCTTACCATCCCATTAAATAAAAAAAATAATTAGTATACTGTACATGGACTTTATAAATTACGTGTTTCAAATTTGGTCCCTTGGTTAATTTTCGATGTCAATATCCTCGACGTCAGAGCACAAATCATCACTGATCAGTTTTGCTGCATCAGTCTCCGCTTCAGCTTTGTTTGTTATCCAAGGTGCGAATTTTTAACCCAACAGGGAGGGGATAAAAGAAAGAGAAAATGGCGAGAGGGGTGAAGGGCATCCTTCAAGGAAGGCAATTATTTTAAATATTTCCGTCAAAGGGTGGTGATCATATGAGGGAGGCAATTAATCGAGGGACGGCTATTATGCAAGGAAATACGGTATTTTTGTCAAACCTCAGTAAATAAAAAAAAATGTCCAGATTGAATTTGAGACTGCATGTGTAATAATAATCTCAATATAATGACTTGAAATGACTTAAGGCTTTCCTTGTTTACTGTCTGTTTCATACAATCAGAGTATTTTGCATTTATGGCTTTCAGAGTTTATTATTGTCTTACTTCCTTACATTTACTTACTTACAACTTGACAGTGTAATGTTATTGTTTCTACTGAAGTTGCAACCATAGTAAGCTGTCTTAAGTACAATGTATTACGACATGAAAAGAAATGGAAGACACCATGGGGAATTATATACATCTTGCTGTTCAAGAGGCAAAATCATAAATTTTTAAATATTATTAATATGTTTGAATTGGCTACTATGTTTTGTCACTTTACAGGGAATTTATAGAGGTGATGAACGAGATGGGCCAGGAATCATGACTTATGTTGACAGTGAACAAGATGTTGGTTTATGGTGTGGAGAACGCCTCATAAAACTTTGTTCAGTGATGGACAGTGCTTTTCTTTTTCAACATTACTCAAATTACAATGTAAATGCAGGGAACAACCTTTCGGGCAGAGTAAGGCGAGCCAACACTGCAAAACAGAACATCAGAAACACATCACCTTCTTTGCAAGACTTTGAAGGAGTTGAAGACAGTAAACTGCAATCTCAGATCCCAAATTCATTTCCATTTTCAGATATTTTAGAAGGTGTGCGAGGTGATAAAGGTCCTAAAGGACCTATTGAACAATCTTCAGAGGAGCTTTTAAAGGCCGCTGCTGCAGGAGACTGCTTTAAAGTTCGAAATTTGATTGAGAGTGGGAAAGTTCACGTGGATGTTGCTGACAAAACAGGATACACTGCACTATTGGCTGCCTCGGTAAGTGGTAGAGGGTGTACCTTTGGTAACTCCTAAATCTTACTCTCGGTTGTTAATTATTCCCATATGTATGACATGAGTTTGAAGCAAACAAGTTCGAATCATGCAAGCATATGATGCAGGGATTCTTTATAGATAGCAAGTTGCTGGGGGGATTTCTTCCCCATCCTCCCCCCTACATCTGCCCCTGAAATTAAAATCAATCTATTTTTTTTTCTTCCCCAAGGTTAATTGTCACCGTGATGTCATAAACTGCCTGCTGGACAATGGTGCCAATGTGAACAAGTTAAATGATGAAGGATTGTCAGTTCTTGCAGCCTGTCATGTTCTGTTCTACACAAAACACACTTGGAAGGATAATATTGCAGAAAACATTCCTCATGAAAACTTGTTCAATTGTATACAGGAGGATGGACAGAAAGGGATTTATATTCATCGAAATTACCGTCAAAGTGCAGCTGTGGAAGACGCTAAAATGGAGACAAACTCCGAGTCAGGAGAAGTGGATGTAAATTCTGATGATGAATTTGTAGCGAACTGCACTGAAAATGAGAACAACCAGGTTGATCAAAGGATGTACAAGGTTATTGAATTTAATGACAGAAAATCTGGAAATAAGGATGAATCCGGTCATGAACTAGAAAACAATTTAAGCAATAATTTAAAAAGCAAATTAGACCTCAAGAAAAATGGTTTTATGAAAGACTTTGAGAAACAAGGAATGGAAATTATCATTGACTCCAGTGTTGAAAATGTACTTGATTCTGGTATGCTGACACCGAACAGTAATGCGTCTGTGACACATGACAATGTCGGTGATAAGACCAGCAAACTCAACATAATGAATCCATCATTATTTAGTATGGTGAGTGCGGTGAGCAGCACAAGGCAGCTGACAGAGTCTGGTGATGATTTGCGCAGTGAAAACAGCATGGAGCAAAACAAGCAAGTGTTGCTGGCTGTTCAGAGGTAACACGTTGTAAACCACAATGTTACTCTCAAATGTAATAGCCATCTTGATGATACTTACAGCTTTCAGATATGAAGTGTCAAAGATGGGTATTTTGACAGCACACACTGCTGCTTATGACAAAAAATTTCAAGGTTCTGAGATATAAAGGAAATGATTTCTTAAGATAAAAGGTTAATTGCAGAGTTGAATTGACCAGGTGCAGTACTTCTGTACCCAGGAGGGGGCTGGGGTGTGCTTGACCTGTGTGAGCTATAGAGGTGTTTGCCACCCAAAGGGTTTGGTTTTGAGCCACTTTAAATGTTCAGTGTCAATACTACTACCCGTACATGTATGTGATGAAAAAATTCTTAAAATAAAATGTGTTGAATTCACTTCTTTGAATAATTTGCCATTAAAATAGGCTCACATACATACAGCATTGCAAAGAAAGATTAAAATGGTTTAGAGTGGTTTTCGTTTGAGTGTCGTAAAACCAAAACCAAAGTAATTACTCTGGCCAATCACATAGGACACAGACAAGACATTGAACCAATCAAAACTCGAAGTAATTACATGTGGCTGGCGCAAAGCGCGGGAAAATGCATGCGAGCGCGTCACAATTGGCTTTGGTCTTACTTCTGATTGGATGAAAAGGTGGCACGAATCTTTTAAGCCAATCGCATCGTGTAGAAAGTGCGAAACCAATTACTTTTCGACACTCAAATGAAAACCGCTCTAAAACTTATACTTAGTTTTACATAACAAAAGAAAAATCCGATCACAGAGGTGACCACTAAAGTGTATGGCCAGGAAAAAGAAACTAGAACAAGGTTATGAGTTTGCAAGCTGAGTACAACTTTTAGAAGCCAGTTTGGAAGGCTAGTTCTAACAACAAGAGTATAAAATGGCATAATTTGGTCTGAAAAATGGTCAGGATTTTGAGAACTGGGAATCACACCCAACCAAGAGTTCCTTGGAGTACCCCGTCCTGTGTATAGACAATTCAAATGCTTTAACCCAGCCCTTTACCGGTAGTGTTAATCAAGGATCTATTCTCAAAACACCACAGGAACTTCAACTGCTTATTTGTTGAATTACCCCCTCATCTCTCATCCTTTAAACAACTGTCACAGAAATTACATGAATGGGATTCTTCCACTACACATGTTGAGATCGATGTATTGATCCGATCTTTGCATCCTACGGAATGCATTCTATGAATTTTAAATTTTTGCATCTTTGGGGATTATTTCTATGTGTCAGGGACGCAGGATGCAGAGGTAACAAAATCACTGAAACTGTGCTACATGTGTGATGTCATATTTTGTTATTTATAACATGGTTTTTGTTTACTGGTAATTTGATTTTAGGCGTCCTCATCTTGAAGCAACAGTTCGACTTCTACTGAAGCGAGGTGCAGATCCCAATTCATCATCACTTCCAATGCCTGTACTTTTCTTTGCTGTTAAAGCTGCTGACTCTGCTGCTGTAGAAATTTTACTTCAGAAAGGTGCTGACACTTCTGCCAAGCTCTCAACAGAGGTAAAAAAAAATATTGATAAGTGCATACTTGAAAAAATGGTAGGAGAACTTTCTGTGCTCTGAAATCTGTGTTACTGTACAAGGTAATGAATAAATATAATCATTATTACAATTTTGAATAATGTCTGCATGTCTGGTACTTTCATCCACAGACTCAGAAGTTTGAACTACGTACTAAATAAATAGTACTATTGAAAGTCCTGCTGAAGAGGTTTCATTTGAATGGTAACACCATAGGATTTCATCCACAGACTCAAAATTTGAACTACATACTAAACAAACAGTACCATGTGAAAGAACTGCTGAAGAGGTTTCATTGGAATGGTAACACCGTGGGATTTCATCCACAGACTCAAAAGTTAGAACTACATACTAAATAAATAGTGCCATGTGAAAGTACTGCTAAATAGGTTTCATTTGAATGGTAACACCACAGGATTTCATCTGCAGACAGTAGAACTACATAACATTACCTCTAGCAGCAGCAAAAATGCTATTAACAAAACACTTTTGTTATTTATTATTCTAGCATTTAGGAATTGCACCTCTCCACATTGCCGTAGCCCTGCCTGATGAGACAGGAGTAGAGATCACTGAGCTTCTTCTTAAATCAGGAGCTGATCCTAACATTAGAGACAGTGCATTTGGTTCAGGGGATAATGGAAGGACAGCAGGCCATATTGTATGCTCAAGAGAGGATAATGACAAGGTATAATACCTGTGTGTAATATTGGGGAGCTTTAGCAGCAACAATGAGATTGAAAAGATTTTTTCTAACTTTTGCACAGAATAATGTTTATTTATTTATTTTTTTTGAGTAATTTAGCGTTATCCTCAGTAGTTTTTGTTTAAATTATATGTGTCCTTGACAAGATTAAAAGGAGCCTACACAGCAAGCATTGCACTCATTCCAAACATTTGCGTAATAACTTGTGTGGAAATGCGTCCTAAGCAGGCTAGAAAAAAAGAGAAAATAGAAAGTTTGTGAACAGACTACTCGCATAGATCTTCTTATTCTCACATTTGTTTTCGTAATCAAAAATAGATGGTTCAGGATGCATTATCAAAAACAAGATAAGAAAAAAAAAACAATGTTATGGAAGCCCGCTTATGCCTATAAGGGGTGACGAATGGTCTTTGCGAGCATTCGCGATCATGCCGAGCACTGCGATTTTTTTGCGAGCACAAGCAGAAATAAAAAAATTGCTTTGTGAGCTTGCGAGCAACGCAAAAATTTGGGGAGCACGAGCAAGCAAGCACTCGTTTAAATTTTGCGAGCAAATCGAGCAAAGGTAAAATTTTGCTGGCAGTTAAAAATTTTAATGGACCATTCATCACCCCCCCTGCAGACTCATCTAAGCAGACCAAATCAAATAAAGAGATAATAGTAATTTTTTGAGTGTCAATGTATTTAGCACAAAAGTAATAATTGGGGACACTGTTTTTTACGTCTCCTACTGGAGAC